GCACAGGAACGGAGTTCCGGCTGGCTCCTGAGTTGGCCACGCCCAGCAGGAACTCGTTAGCATAATAGGCCACACCCAACAGCAGAAACTCATTAGGATTGGCTACAGTAGGGGTATGTGGCCTAACATGCAAAGGAGTTCCTGCTACAAAAAAAGGCCCTGGGTTTGGACAACAAACAAGGTAAACAGAATAACAAGCAAAAGGTGGGTGTGGCTGGATGACCACACTTCTGGTAACATGGGGGTGCGGCCTAATGTGCTAATGAGCTGTGCTGTCAGGGTTGTGGCCCAATATGCTAATGAGTTCCTGCTGTTGGGTGTGGCCTATTATGCTAATGAGTTCCTGCTGGGCTTTTTCTACAAAAAGAGCCCTGGACAACTGCATATTAACCTGAATAACCAACAATTAGTGTAGAAGGCAGGCAGGCAGGCAGATAAATGTCAAAATATGAAATAAAGACCAGAAAACAATTGTTCCAAAGTTTAACCACTGGGCAAAGAAGAGAAATACAAAAATACAAATGAAACCTCCAGTGCAATCACATGTCCAGTAGTACTTCTCTCTGGTCAACTATATATTCTCCTGAGATTGTACAGCCAAATGTCCCCAATAACTTAAGGAAGGCTTCATTTGTATTTTTGTATTTCTTTTCTTTGCCCAGTGGTTAAATTTTGGAACAATTGTTTTCTGGTCTTTATTTCATATTTTGTATATGTATGATTGTATATATTTTTACATATCAGCCAACATGCTCTATTTCTATTAGACCTCTGAGGAAGGCCTGTAAAGGCCGAAACACGTCAGGTCTATTTCATTAGCCTTCGTATGTTTTTATATTTGTATATGAGGTATGAATGGGCCCTTATTCGTTGTTTTAATTTGTGTTGAATAAATACATGTATATTTTTGTATGTTTCATAATTAGATATTTAGAGTTGGCCCTCTTCTATTCTTGACTAACCTTTTTAGGTTCTGAATCATATCTCAAAGCATACAAAGAACAAATCCTGTGAGGGAGCTGCACTCCGGATTGTATAGCCAAGGAATTAATGATTTGATGTTGAGTAGACTTTTGGGCTTTATGATGGCAGAACGCAAACAAAGCAAGATCCCTGAACTGTAGAGGGATCCCCCTGGCTCCACAGCTGGTTAGAACCGCTCAGGAGGGCTCAGAGGTTAGGCTGCCTTTGCCGCGCTCCAGAAGGGCGGGTCCTGAACGTAAGGAGATTTACGTTTCCCTATTTCTGCAGGTACTTGAAGCGCTTCAAGGAGATGAAGCTGAAGGTTCTTCAGCGCTGGAGCAGGCAGATTCTGCGGGGGCTCCATTTCCTGCACACCCGCTCCCCTCCAATCATCCACCGTGACCTGAAATGCGACAACGTCTTCATCACGGGGCCTACTGGCTCTGTAAAAATCGGGGACCTCGGCTTGGCCACACTTAAGCGTGCATCGTTTGCCAAGAGCGTCATAGGTACTTGATGGTTAGACAATGGGCAGTGCTGGCTCTGCCACCCCAGGAGAATAACAATTCAGGAGAAGTATCTGTGCAGTGAAGCAATGTAAAGTGGAATAAAAACCACGATGAACACCCCCAGTAAGCTAAAGGCCAACTGGCACGCAGGAGAACTCTTTCACCATGCCTGGAAGAGGCATGGGATTTTGGAGAGCCTTTGGAGCAGCATCCCCCCCCCCAAGCACCTCACTGCTTTCCGTTCCTGCTTCCACCAGATGGGCAGGTGGTGTGACGTGAAGACGGTAGGCTGCTGCAGTTGAGAATGGGGTGGTGAAGAGGCAAGGCAATATTTTGGACTTGCCGAGCTCATGGAAGATTTTACACTAGTTTTTGAGGCCGGAATAGACATTATTTTAGGAGCTGCAGTGGCTCAAGGGGTTAAGACGCTGAACTGCAGGCTGTGGAAGGTCGGTAGTTCAGCAGTTCGAGACCCGAGTGTGCCGCATGACGGAGTGAGCTCCCGTCTCTCGTTCCAGCTCCTGCCAACCTAGCAGTTCGAAAGCAAGAAATTGCAAGTAGATAAATAGGTACCACTTCGGTGGGAAGGTCACAGCGTTCCGTGCACCTTGGTGTTTAGTCACGCCGGCCACATGACCACGGAAATGTCTTCGGACAGCGCTGGCTCTTCGGCTTTGAAACGGAGATGAGCACCGCAACCCTAGAGTCAGACTCGACTGGCTTTCGAGCAAGGGAACCTTTACCTAGACATTATTTGGTCGCTCTGTTTTTATACAGAATCCAGATGACTTGTGCTATCAACTCAGTTCACTCCAGCGTTTTCTGAGTTCTGTTTCCATCTTTTTAAAGGCCTGATTTGTGGCATTTCCCCCAATGTAAATGCCTCTGGGCACCAGTTGTCCATGATGGAACTTACAAAATGTTATTGAAATGCCCCCTTTAAATTTCCCTCCTGTTTTAACCTTTCTCAGCTTAATTCATTACTTCCCGCTTACACTCTGTGCCTGCTACATTCTTATGCATTAACAGAGCCTGAATCCGTTCTTGTTGGGGGTGTTAATTACTGCTTTTTATTGCAGCAAAAATGACTGTTAATTTTCTTTAATTTTTTTGTGCAACTATCAGAATCAAGCCAAAAGCAGTAATTAATGACACCTCTTACCTCTCGGTGAAAGAATTGGTTAAGGACCCATTCAGGAACCCTGTGGCCGTGGAGAGTGAAGAGGAAGTAATCAATTAAGCACGGACAGGAAGAAGCAGACGCACTCACAGCTACTCTGCACAACAAAAGAGGGAGTTGACAACGTTTATCGGGGCAGTTGCAGGGAGAAGCTGGACTTCTGTTTAGCAGGCCTTTCGTTCAAGTAAATATGTAGTCGGATCTTACCCAGGCAAATGGCCATTGTGGGATTCGTAAGGGAAATACGGCAGTAGCTGAAGTGAGGCGTGAAACCCTCATTCCAATTCCATTTGCAGCTGATTGCAGCAAAGGAATCCTTTAGCAGTGTGGAAGCAACCTTGGAGTTTTATTGTCCGCAGCTCGATCACTGTATGAAATTTAATGAGGTGTTTTCTGTTGCCCAGTGTGGGTTTTGGAGGCAACCTGGTGGGCTCATGAAAAGGGTGGGTGGGTGGGTGGGTGGGTTTGGTGGCTGACGACTGGGTGTGGGAGGGGGGACAACTCTGCCCAAGTTTCTCAGTCTCAGCTGAACGCCGTCTTTCTCCTTCCCCCCACCCCAGGGACCCCAGAATTCATGGCACCAGAGATGTACGAGGAGAAGTATGACGAAGCAGTGGATGTTTACGCCTTCGGCATGTGCATGCTAGAGATGGCAACATCTGAGTATCCTTACTCAGAATGCCAGAACGCAGCTCAGATCTATCGCAAGGTCACCTCGGTGAGAGCGCAGCCTCTAATATATTTAGGATTTTTAAAAATCTTGCTTTCCTCAGTCAGAATTGGATCCCAGAGCCATTCATGGGACGCAAAATCTAAAGCAAATGACAAAGTTCACTACGAAATGTTCCCTGGAAAGGAAATTTTCAGCTGGGCAGGATTCAAACATGGTTGAGGGACACCTGGATGGTTCCTCTCCTGCCTCTGACGGCCTCATTGTTGACAGTTTGGTAATCTATAAAAAGAGAAATGCCAGGCAGTGTGCGTGGTGTGTGTGAGGGGGAGGGGGCATATTCTCCTACTTCGAAGCCCTGTGGCCATAACGGAGATGAGTGAATCGTCCCTGGATACTGAGATGTGTCCAGAGTAGAGATGTAAAATTTCCGGAAATTTTGAAGCTCGGGAAAAAAACCGTTTCCCCCCCTCATTTTCGGAAAAATTGAAAAAAATGCTGCATTAGCATTTCTTTTGTCTTTTCTAGATTGAAAGTCATTCTGTTACTTTAGGTAGCACCTCCTAAAGGAAGAAATCCATCTTGTTCTTGCATTGGAGAGTTCCGTTGGTAACCTAGGACTTGCTTGTCCTCCGTGCACAGAAATTAGATCCATCTGATACCATACATATTTTTTAGAAATGATTTGGAAAATATTTGAACACCTTGTCCTAAAATATTTTATTCGTCATGTTAAAATAAAACGTTCCATAATCAATTTCTTTTCTTTTCTTGTTTCAATTTTTCCAATTTTTCGGAAAAAAACAAAAAAGGCTTCAGGAAAAAAAACGGGGGGAAAACGTGTTTTTTTCCAAATTTTTCCGGTTTTTTTCCGGGCCTTCACATCTCTAGTCCAGAGACAATACACTCATTAGATACCAGGGCTCCTTCAGTACCTCAGTATCCAAGTGCCCCAGGCATTTGGAAGGGTTTCTGCTCCGAGCTCTGGCTGCATGGGAACTGTGCTGGTGAGTGGCGGAGAGGCCTGCTGGGGGGCGCAGGGGATTTCCCGGGGGTGGGGGCCTCCCGTGTCCCCCGCCTGCCTGTCATTCACTGCCCAGCTGGTTCACTCTGAGCTGGTCCCTCTGTCCCTTCTCCCCACAGGGCATGAAGCCCAACAGTTTCTACAAAGTGAAGGTGCCTGAGCTGAAGGAGATCATCGAGGGCTGCATCCGGATGGACAAGAGAGAGAGGTGGGGAACTGCTGTGGCTGGGAGTCTGCTTCTCTTCTGCAGGCGCTGACGGGCTGGGTGTAATTTCATAAAATCTGGGAACATTTTGGCAAAGATGGAAACACCCTGGGCAATGTTCCCTTTAAGCTATGGAGTCTTGTAAGCAAAAATTCTACTTTGTGAGCTACTAGCATTAAAGTTGTGAGCTCATGATTTGGCTGCTGCATAAATGCGTTTGCTCTGGAGCCCTCCTTCCTGAGCTAAGGCAAAAATGTGTGAGCTGGAGGCTAAAAAACTGTGAGCTAGCTCACACTAACTCAGCTTAGAGGGAACACTGACCCTGGGTATGCGGTAGCAGAAACAAGGAGAAAGAAAGATGGAGGGCAGACCATGACTACTGAAAGACCCCGTTGTAGATCAGGGGAGACCCATGATTCCAGGCTTCTTGTTTTTCACGTGGCTTGTATTGTTTTCAGTCCTCACTAGAAGTCTTAATTGTTTGTTTGTTCATTGAGGTTTTTTCCTGTCCATCTTCTAAGGAGCTCACAGTGGTACTTGTAGGTTTTCCCCGCCCATTTAATCCTATAAGGTAGGAATGTGAAGAAGTGTGCGTGCACACAAAAGCTTATACCCGGACCAGTGTTCCCTCTAAGCTGAGTCAGTGTGAGCTAGCTCACAGTTTTTTAGCCTCCGGCTCACCCATTTTTGTCTTTGCTCAGGAAGGCTGGCTCCAGAGCAAGCTAATTTATGCAGCGGCCAAATCGCTCGCTCACAACTTTAATGCCAGCAGCTCACAAAGTAGAATTTTTGCTCACAGGGAGCATTGACCCAGACTCAAACTTTGTTGGTCTTAAAAGTGCCACTGGACTCAAACTTTGTTCTATAAAGTTAGTCTTAAGAGGGAGTGATTGGCTCAGAGTACCCAGTGTGTGTCCTGGCAGAATAGACCTCTGAGTTGATTGTTTGCATAAGACATGTTTTTTAAAAAAGGGAAAAAATACCAAGATTCTTAGGAGAAATCAAGGGGCACATCGGTCAAAATGAGGAAAAGTACACACATGCCACAATGATACTGATTTAGTATTCTTAAAATTACAATCTCATAGACATCTCATATAGGTTTAGAAAAATGACAATATTCTGTTCATGAGCAAATGCACTCAATGGGAATGCCTGTGTGTGCGTGTCCTATGCACACTCCTGGCCCGGACGGTCCCTCGGTCACGACTGCTGATAGCCCCTCTCCCTGAAGATCCAAGTTTGTCACCGGTTCTGCCAGCTGCTTCCCACTTGCCCTTTCCCCATCCCTTCTCACCTTCCTTCTTTCCAGATACACCATCCAGGATCTTCTGGATCACTCCTTCTTCCAGGAGGACACGGGTGTCCATGTGGAATTGGCTGAAGAGGATGATGGGGTGAAGTCCAACCTGAAGCTTTGGCTGCGGATGGATGACTCCAAAAATCTGCATGGGAAGTATAAGGACAACAATGCCCTGGAGTTCCATTTCGAGCTTTATAAGGATGTGGCTGAGGAAGTTGCCCAGGAAATGGTACGTCTTTGCTGCGTGTGTGTGTGTGGGGAATCCTGACTATTAGGAGCCAGGGACAAGCTCAGGCGCAGGGAACTGGGGAAGGGCGCAGCCGCGGGTGAACTATGCAAATGGGAGGGCCAAGGCCAGGAGGGAATGGAAGCAGGGCTGGCCCAAGTTCCAGGGCCCGCCGCTCTAGGCGAATGCCTAGTTCGCCTAGTGGGTGAGCCAGCCCTGAATGGAAGCCGTCTCTTCTCATCCCAGCTGTGTAGGGGTTGGCTGAGATTAATTTCACTTTAAAGGAGAGGAACTCTGAATAGTGGTTTTTAATCTTCGTTCATCCTTTAGCTCTTTCTGTGCTCAGCTCTGGTTCTGAAAAACAGGTTTCAGAAGTTGTCTAAATGAAAGAGCGGGGTCAGTTTCCCATGATGACCTTTTTGCACTTCTGACATGTACTTTTTGGCATTCACCCACAAGCTGAATGCCAGACAGCATTTTTAATAGTGCTACAGTTCCTTAAAATCTGGCAGGGACTGTCTCCAAGTGCAGGATCCTACTGCTATGGAAGTAAGCCCTGCTCAGCAGACATGCTGTTTCGCTCCACAGTTGTTCCTTTACTTATTTTGTAGTCATTTCTTCAGCTGTGTGCTTAATTAATTTCTTCCTGTTCATTTCTGGTCCCTGCAGCTGACATGCATGCATAGATTCTTAATCAGATCCACTTTCCTTCGCTGAGGGGAGGATTTAATTACTCTTTTTTTTTCCTTTGCAGCAAATGTGGTTTCAGAATTACAACCATGACTGTTAAAAGTCAGTTTGGTGTAGTGGTTAGGAGCACAGACTATAATCTGGGAGAACCAGGTTTGGTTCCCCATTCCTCCACATGCAGCTGCTGGTGTGACCTTGGGTCAGTCACAAGTTCTTTCAGAGCTGTTCTCTCAAGGGCAGTCTTCAAGAGAGCTCTCTCAACCCCGCCTACCCCACAGGGTGTCTGTTGTGGGGAGGGGAAGGGAAAGGAGTTTGTAAGCTGCTCTGAGACTCCTTCGGGTAGTGGACTGAAAAGGAGGCAGCTCTGTTTTGGATTGTGCCGCAGTAAGTCTCCTTTCCGCCCCACCTCCCCTCTCCACAGGTCATGCTGGGCTTTGTCTGTGAGGCAGACTACAAGCTGGTGGCCCGAGCGGTGCGCGAGAGGGTCCTTGCTATCAAGCGCCAGCGCGAGAAGGCCAGGCAGGCGCAGAAGAGGCAGGAGAAGGTGTCCACGCCCCCTCCGGATATCCTGCATCTCCTGGAGTTGGGCTCCTCCCCACTTCTCGGCCCCGCCCAGGCCTCCACGCCGACCACACCGGGATCCCGGGATTCAGCACTTGGGCCAACTTTCCCACCAGAGCCAGAAGAACCCGAGGTTGACCAGCACCAGCCCTTCCTGTACCGGCACAGCTATTCCTCTGCCACGTGTACGTCACCCTCTGCCCCCAGTAGCAATGGCAAAGACACCTTAAGCTGAGGCGTATTCGCTGCTGCCACAGGCTGCTTCACCACAAACTCATGATATTCATATAGGCTGTGGAATTTGAACACTCTGAGGGTTTCTCATGCATTTTTAAAATTCGATTAGCCACTCTTGTGGCTGTGAAGATGAAATTGGGTAGGGAGGTGTTACGAGGGCTGGATCTGACATAAATGTCACTTTGTCAGGCCAGGCCATGTGTGCCATAAAATGTAACACAAGGTACCAGAGTTATAAACCTTATAAAGATTATTGATTGGATTAGGTGTGCTATGCAGAGGGGTAGTAGGCATGGAGATAGCAGCAGTGGTAATGAAACAGGAAACCTAGGTTTCAGTTTGGTCCAGGAGAATGCAAAGAAGAAATGGAGATAAGTCTAAGGAAGTGAGCAGTGACTCATGAAAGCTGATACCCTACAACAAATGTTGTTAGTCTTTAAGGTGCTACTGGACTCTTACTCTTTCTACTGCTATTAGAAATCACAAACATTCAAAAACCGGTGGGGGGGACATTTTAACCTTCCAGGACATTCAGTTTCTGACAGAGTAGCAGTTCTCTTACAAAGGAATTTCAAAGGGAGATTAGAAAGAAAGACTGCTGAATTGCAGCTCTTAATGAAGCGCAAGGCAATGCATCCTCCTGGACTGAACTGAGAGCTAGGTTTTGTTTCCTGTTACCAGTGCCTGCTATTGTTATTTGGTGTCTGAAATCACTTCACTCTTCAAGATGTAAAGACAGATGGACTCACATTCTAGATGTATCTGAAGAAGTGAGCAGTGACCCATGAAAGCTTTTGCCCTGCCTCAAATTTTGTTTGTTGTTAAGGTGCTACTGGACTCTTGCTCCCTTCCACTAATAAAGTTTGCAAGCTATGCTGTTAGATTTCTCCCCCCTCCCCCCTCCCCCAGTCTATTAGAACTCAAAAGGGGGATATCTCTCTCTCTCTCTCTCTCTCTCTCTCTCTCTCTCTCTCTCTCTCATGCCCTGGCTCTTTCACTCCCCCCTCTCCCCCTCTCTCTGAAGTGTGCTTGCACACAAAAGCTTATACCTGGAACAAAATTTCATTGGTCTTAAAGATGCCACGGTACTCCCTCCCTCCCCACCCCTCTCCCCAAAGGAGGGGGGAGGAGCACTCAGCCAATCGAGGGAAGGGAGGCTTGGTTTTCTTTCTCTCTACAAAACAGGAAGCAGGAGAGGAGAGAGCTGGGCAAGCGGAAGCAGTGATGCAAAAAGCAGACAAGAGCCAGTTGCCTGTGGGCTGGATAGGAGCCCTGCAGGGGCCAGTTCCAGCCTGCGGGCCGTATGTTTGACACCCCTGGTGTAGGCAATACTCCATATAACTTAGGGACACACTGACCTCCCAGAGGTCAGAGACTAGCCAGCCTTTTGACTTTCTCCATAGCTGGTGGAAGCAGAACAAGTAAACCCTAATGTCCACCCAGGCCTACTTCTTTCCCGTTTTAAAACTATGGATCCCTACAGGGAACGTGTTCGATGGTGGGACTCAGTTTGTAGTGAGCTGAGCGGCTTCACTTCCCGTCCTTCTTTTCTGTTTCTGCTTCAGCGGACTGTGAGACCGATGGCTACCTGAGTTCCTCTGGATTTGTGGATTCGCGCGACGTCCCGCAGAGTCTCCCCAGCCCAGGAGCTGCCCCAGAGCCCTCCTTCACTTCGGTGAGTCCAAGTGCTATTTCTGGAGCAGGCTGCCCTGGGAGAGGACGCCCAGGCAGGCGCTTGGAGCCGGGGAGTGGGGGAACAGTCCCTTCAGCCCTCCTGTCCTTCTTTACCCCCCACAGAGCATTGCGGTGAGCCTGCACCCTGTCTCCACCAGTGACTTCTCTTCCCCCCTGGACAGGTAAAAAGGGTGGGACCGGAGAGCTGCAACGGGAGGCGATTGGGAGGGAGGGGGCCGCCTGAATGTTCATTCACACAAAGGCAAATAAACACTTGGGTGACCGGAGGAAAGCGTGATATTTCCGGCCACTTTATCTGTTGGCCTGTCCTCTGCAAGGAGCCCTTTCCCCTCACACGGAGGGTTAGGCCACACACCCCCTATAGATGGGGGTGGTGGTTAGGCCATCCCAACCTCTCTCTGCATTTGCAGCCCGGGAGGGGCTGGGTTGGACCGGAGGCATCTGCCCCTCCGCCCCGCCTGGCCTTCGCCCTCCTTCTCCCTCAGGAGCGCAGGAGGCGGAGGGAGGAGCACCGGCCGAGAAGGAAAGAGATCTGGGGGTTGCCGTGGACAGCGCCGTGAAATGTTGACGCCGTCTGCGGCACCAGAGAAAAGGCAAACGCTTTGCTGAGGAGTATTAAGAAAAGAAAAGGAGCTGCGGTGGCTCAAGGGGTTAAGACGCTGAACTGCAGGCTGTGGAAGGTCGGTCGTTCAGCAGTTCGAGACCCGGGTGTGCCGCATGACGGAGTGAGCTCCCGTCTCTAGTTCCAGCTCCTGCCAACCTAGCAGTTCGAAAGCAAGACATTGCAAGTAGATAAATAGGTACTATTTCGGTGGGAAGGGAACAGCACCTCGGTGTTTAGTCATGTCGGCCACATGACCACGGAAACGTCTTCGGACAGCGCTGGCTCTTCGGCTTAGAAACGGAGATAAGCACCGCAACCCTAGAGTCAGACAGCGCTGGCTTTCGAGCAGGGGAACCTTTACCTTTATTATAGAAAAGAGTTGGAAACAAAACAGTCAGGACTATAATGCCATTATATAAAGCCGTGCGGCAGCCTCATTTGGGATACAGTGTGTAATTCGGGGCTCCATGTCTCAGAAAAGACGTTGCCGAGCTGGAAAAGCACAAAGGAAGCGGAACCAAGACGATTAGTGGGTTAGAGCACCTGTCCTGTGAGGGAAGGCTGGAGAACTCTCAGTCGAGAAAAAGATGGCTGAGGGGAAACAGGACAGAGGGTTATAAGACGATGCGTGGAGTGGAGAGTGGATCGAGATAATTTTTTCTCCCTCTACCCAAGGAAGATTCAGGACAAACAAGAGGACAGAAACTCGCGAAGCAATGAAATTGCAGAGTCCGCTGCCAGTGGACGTAGTGATGGCCACAAGCATAGATTGCTTTAAAAGAGGGTTAGAGAAAGATTAACGGAGGACAGGACTGTTCGTGGCTTGGAGACTAAAGGGAACTTCCACATTCAGAGGCAGTAAACCTCTGAAACCTGGTGCTAGGAGGCAACCTTGGGGTGCTAGGGGGTAACCTTGGGGTGCTAGGAGGCAACCTTGGCCTCTGAGTCCGCTTTGGAGCCCTGCAGGGCAACTGGCTGGCCACTCTGTGAAACAGGACGCTGGTCTGTATGGACCCCTGGCCTGATATGCAGGGCTCTTCTTCTGTTCTGACGTCCTGATGGCTTTTAAACAGCTACACATCAGATGTGGCGTCCGGCTTGAGTGACGGCTATGAAGGTCTGTCTGCTGGAGAGTGCCGCGTGAAGCCTTCGGTCAAGCGCGGGCCTGGAAGGCTGCTGAGACGGCGTGCCCGACCTCGCCTGCGCATCACAAATGTGAGTGCCCTTGATGTTGCGACAGCCTTGTGGTTTGTGTGCGTGCGTGCCCACGCTCACATGAGCCCGAATTACCAGGAATTGATGAATCAGCAGGCCTATGAAGATGAGGGCTTTCTAAGGGTCAGGTTTCTTTTAATTAGCTGAATGACTGTTTCATTTAAGCAGGAGGCAGCTGTTCAAATTAGGGCAGCCAGCACGTTAAATGAACTCTTGATGTTAAAAGGAAAGGCTGTCACAAAGGTTGTTTTTTGCATGATATTTAACGATATAGAATATTCTCTGTTGGAGCATATCACTTGAACTGGGGTGTGGGGGGGAAAGACTTTAAAACAAAACAAGTTCAAGACTCACCAGTATTGTGGGAAATCCTGCTTTAAGAATATAACTGTAGACTTTAAACAAGTTCTGTCACTTCTGTGTAATTATTACTTTTAATGGAGAGCCACAATATTTTTAGCCTTCAAGACAAATCATTGGCTACCTCTGGAGAGTCAGTGTGGTGGAGTGGTTAGAGTAACAGACTAGGATCTGGAAGACCTGGGTTCGAATCCCCACTCTGCCATGAAAGCCCTTGGTGGGTGACCTTGGGCCAGTCAGTCTTCCTCCGCCTAACCTGTGGGAGGATAAAATGAAGAGAACAATGAAAACTGCTTTGAGTCTCCATTGGGAAGAAGTGGGGTATAAATGAAGAGAGAGGAAGAAGAGATTGGATTTATACCCCATGGCCCTTCACTACCCAGAGGAGTCTCAGAGCGGCTGACAAACCCCTTTCCCTTCCCCTCCCCACAACAGACACCCTGTGAGGGAGGTGGGGCTGAGAGAGCTCTGACAGAAACGGCTCTTTTTCAAGAACAGCTCTTATCAGAGCTACGGCTTGCCCAAGGTCATCCAGCCAGGTGCAAGTGGAGGAGTGGGGGATCAAACCCGGTTCTCCCGGATTAGAGTCCACGCACTTAACCACGACACCAAACTGGTATTTGAAAGAAAGGTCCTGTCTGTTCCTCCACTGGAGTAATGGAGGAGAGTGCTGTGTGACTTCTTGGTGGCTGTGTGCCCTCCAAGCGTCCCAGGCCCTGAAGTCTTTACTTGTTTTTGGCCACTGGTTAACCCAGGATGGGTGGGGGAAGAGCCACGCCCTCAGCTGGCAGCCCTGATGGCCGTTCTTCCCTGTGTGCAGATCTCAGACCAGAATGACCGGGTGGTCGAGTGCCAACTCCAGACTTACAATAACAAGATGGTCACCTTTAAGTTTGACCTGGATGGGGACAGTGCAGAGGAGATTGCGTCCGTCATGGTAAGGCTGTGAGGATTTTGCTTGGGGTAGAGGTGTGTGTGTGTGTGGGGGGGCTGTGGCAGAAATGGGCCTCCTCAGACCTGTTTCGACTCCTCCACCTTCCCCCAAACACAGGTACACTCCATTCCTGTCATCCACAGGTTGCCAAGGAGTTCATCCTGAAATCAGAGCAGGATGGGTTCATCCGACGAATCCACGATATAATCCAACGTGTGGAGACCTTCCTGTGCAAAGAGGGGGAGAGCAAAGACCAGGAGGCGGCGGGCAGCCCAGAGGTGCAGGGCCTCTCCTCTCCTCTCGCTGGTGGTGGCTTCTCGGTGAGTGACGTAGCTGGCCAGTGCAACTCCCCCAAGCTCTGCGCTTCTGTGGTTGCAAGGAAACCTGGCCGGGATCCCTTTGGGGAGCCGGAAGTGCAGAGGGGTTTCTTAAGGGACCTTACGTTCCCTTTCCTTGCCCCCACCAACCGAGGGGCGTATTGGAACCAAGGGGAGGTCTCCTCCTTCCGTCACTGCCTCTCCGGTCAGGTCAGGAAGCCACATCCCTTGAGTGGGGGCATCAGAGGGAGGGGAGTGGTATCTTGTGACCAGTGTTCCCTCTAAGCTGAGTTAGTGTGAGCCAGCACGAGGCTCCCCCGCTCCGAGGGGTGAGTACACTTGGCAACCCTAGGTTTTTTAGCCTCTGGCTCACACATTTTTGTCTTAGCTCAGGAAGGAGGGCTCCAGAGCCAACTAGTTTATGCAGCAGCCCAATCGCTCGCTCACAACTTTAGTGCCAGCAGCTCACCAAGTAGGATTTTTGCTCACAAGACTCTACATCTTAGAGGGAGCATTGCTCACAGAAGGGGTGTGTGTGTGAGCATTATTTTCAAGATTTCAGGCTCTCACCACTGGGAGGAGGGAGGGGTGTTGGAGGAGGCAGTTGTGGCTTCCCCTTTCTCTGAATGCCAACAGAAACGGCCTCCTTGTTGTCTCCTTTCAGGGCCAGCTGCAAGGCCTTTCGCGCTCCATCTCCTCATCCTCATCTCTGAGCGGTATGTAGCCCCACAACCTGCCCCTCCCCCAGATTAGCATTCCTATGTTCTCCTTCAGGATTGCATACAACTGCTCACTTTCATCAGGGTCAAGAATTCAAAGTTAAAAAAAGAGGAATCTTGTTGCACCTTAAAGACTAGCAGGTTTGTTGTGGCTAATGGGCTGGAGCCCGCTCTCGTCAGATGCGTGAAGCCCAGGGCTATTTTTGGGCAGGAACGCACAGGAACGGAGTTCCGGCTGGCTTCTGAGTTGGCCACGCCCAGCAGGAACTCATTAGCATAATAGGCCACACCCAACAGCAGAAGCTCATTAGGATTGGCTACATTAGGGGGGTGTGGCCTAACATGCAAAGGAGTTCCTGCTACAAAAAAAGCCCTGGGTTTGGACAACAAACAAGGTAAACAGAATAAGAAGCAAAGGTTGGTTTGGCTGGATGAGCACACTTCTGGTAACATGGGGGTGTGGCCTAATATGCTAATGATTTATGCTGTCGGGGGTGTGGCCTAATATGCTAATGAGTTTCTGCTATTGGGTGTGGCCTATTATGCTAATGAGTTCCTGCTGGGCTTTTTCTACCAAAAAAGCCCCTCAGTTGGCAGCTACAGATGCTCTAGCGGGGACACGCAAGGGACTTGCAGGGCCAGGGGGCAGTGGCAAGGGAGGGGGGCGTGGAGCCCGGCAGGGATGGTCGTGTGTGTGTGTGGGTGGGGAGGGGTTCAGGGAGCCACATCAGGCCAGGAGCGGCAAGAGCGGGGAGGGGGCAGGGAGCCCAGCAGCGACGGGGGTGGGGAGGTGGGCTGGGGGTACCGGCAAGGATGCCAGGGGTTGTGGTGGGCCTGGCAGCTACGGAGGGCCGCCTGGCGTTCGTGGCGTGCAGGAGAAGGATGCCTGGCATGGGTGGCAGCTGTGGAGGACCACCTGATGCCAACACCCCTGTGACTGGCCCTGTGGGACCCACTGGAGCAGGTGAGGACAGGGGCAGAGGCGCCTTCTGCTGGTACCGGCTCCGCGGGGCGGATGGGGGGAGGGAGCCCGGGTCCCGGTTGCCGTGGCCTCACCCCCACCCCCAGGAGCTTCTTTGAGTGCTGTGGGGTGGGGTGGGGGGGCTCTGAGTCCTGTGTTGATAGAAGAGGGAGGTACCCTTTTAAAAGGGGAGGGGAGTTAACCCTCAGTGTATTTTTTCAATGTTTTCAGGTTTTTCTGCAAATCTGGGGGGGTGTCTCTCAAAAATATCTGTTTTGTCAGTGTGGGCCTGGTCCACAGATTTAAGGATCCTCAGTTGATGAGGGGCGTAGAGAGAGAAAATTGTGAATGGTGGGGCCACAAGCAATGTTCCCTCTAAGCTGTGGAGTCCTTTGAGCAAAAATTCTACTTTGTGAGCTCCTGACATTAAAGTTGTGAGCAGGTGATTTGGCTACTGCATAAATTAGTGTGTTCTGGAGCCCTCCTTCCTGAGCCGAGACAAAAATGTCTGCGCTGGAGGCTACAAAACTGTGAGCTAGCTCACACTCACTCAGCTTAGAGGGAACACTGGCCACAAGGCTATGGAAGGCTATGCCTCTTGACCCTGCAATTAATCTTCCCTATGTCCACATACATGCATCTACCAATTGTGGATGCATTTCAAGAATCTGCTGAAGTGGGCTCCTTACAAGAAAGGTATTCATCCTCATACTGCTACAAAATCTTATTTTGGTTTGTTTTGACACAGCCATCCCTCTGGATTGCATCTTTAATTTCGTTGTACTATGTACAATGACAATAAAGTATATTATTATTATTATCAAATAAATGTAGCAGCAAAATTTTAGAACAACAAAAGGTCATGATGCTTATCTGGAAATGGACTGGATTTTGTGACAACTCTGGTTCAGTTCAAAAGGTCCTGTCCTGTCCAGCGCGAGCTGTGGCTAAGCCACGGCTCTCTAGGTGTGAGTCAACCACGCTTAAATCATCTTTATTCAACTTCACACGCATTCACAAGATCATTTACTCACAATCGTCCAAACAGCTGTGTGGAAAGTTACATCTTGTGATCTCGGCTAGTTCAATAGCCGCGGTGAGAGAAAAGATGGGCTTCCCCTCTCCTTGCAATAAGGGTTGATGGACAAAGAAACGGAAAAGAACAATAAACTCCTATCTTTGCGCCTCTGAGCTCAGGAAATTACTCTTAATGAGCCAGTCAGAGGGAAGCTTCTGGGACTAACTGTGGACTCCAATTCCCAGGGTGCAACTACTCTTAAAGGTACATTAATGCTGGCTGGGGCAGCACAGGTCCTGTTTTCTTTTTGGTTTCTCCACACTTTGGACAGAACTTCAGCTGTCATGTCCCTCACCCATATTAATACAACCCAGGGGAGTTTGTGCCATGAAAACAGATTTCTGGTTTTGTATGAGTTGCCAGTAAGTGACATAAAATGGTAGCTAATGTAAAAGTGTGAAGGAATAGAAATAAAATTGGCCAAAGAAAACAGACAGGAGGGAAATGCCATCCCAGCCATGGAAGAAAATGAAAAAAATATGTATTCTTTCATCCTTATTTTTATGCCTATTGGGTTGTTTATTGCATCTTGGAGCGTACTCCATCTGAACTGCATAGTTGTGCCTGGAGAGCTTTGCCCTTAGTTGAGGGTGTGATTATGGGGCTTCTCCTGGTGCTGGCTTGGTACAAGATCAGAATGAAACCAGAGTCCAGTGTTCCCTCTAAGCTGCAGAACCTTGTGAGCAAAAATTCCACTTTGTGAGCTCCTGGCATTAAAGTTGTGAGCAAGCAGTTTGGCGACTGCATCAACTAGCTTGATCTGGAGCCCTCCTTCCCGAGCTAAGGCAAAAACCTGTGAGCCGGAGGCTAAAGAACTGTGAGCTAGCTCACACTAACTCAGCTTAGAGGGAACACTGGACCAGACCAACATGTTCCAGTATTAGTGTTTGGATAACAGAGACCTACAGGACACAGGAGAAGAGAAAGACACCCTTGGCCTTTGGCTAAAGTCTGGGATAAGTATCCTAATAAGCCATCCCCATTCATTTCTCTTCTTGGCTCAAGTTCTAGAAACTCCTGGTTTTATTCCAGTGGCAGTCTTGAGGGGGGGGGGATTTTCACTTCAGAAAATTACAAAGCACCCTATTTATTTAAAACACTTATATGCTGCCTTTCTAGCCAAATAGGTACTCCAGTGTGGCGAACATCCGCCATTAAAACATTTAAACATTAAAAACAGCATTTAAAGTGTGTGTGTTTGTGTGTGTGTGTGTATACTTAACAATACAACACAACAACAACGCTGTTGGGTGTGGCCTATTATGCTAATGAGTTCCTGCTGGGCGTGGCCAACTCGGGAGCCAGCCGAAACTCCGTTCCTGTGCGTTCCTGCCCAAAAATAGCCCTGCTTGGATTAAATTATATGGTATAATTAGATATTGTTCACTTAGCTGTTCTGCAAGAGACGCTCAGTATAGGCTTATGTACTGTTGGTGCTTAATGGCAGTAAGGATACTTTTGGATGTTCCCTGCATTTAAATGTTGTGGAGGTGGGGGTCTTATCTCCTGGGCAGAATTTTAAAAAACCTTTCAGCATTCAGCATTGTTGGTCTGCTGTTCATTGAGTCAGATCCAGGGGTTATTGGACCAAGCCATGAGTTCCTGCTGTTGGGTGTGGCCTATTATGCTAATGAGTTCCTGCTGGGCGTGGCCAACTCGGGAGCCAGCCGGAACTCCATTCCTGTGCGTTCCTGCCCAAAAATAGCCCTGCTTGGATTAAATTATATGGTATAATTAGATATTGTTCACTTAGCTGTTCTGCAAGAGACGCTCAGTATAGGCCTATGTACTGTTGGTGCTTAATGGCAGTAAGGATACTTTTGGATGTTCCCTGCATTTAAATGTTGTGGAGGTGGGGGTCTTATCTCCTGGGCAGAATTTTAAAAAACCTTTCAGCATTCAGCATTGTTGGTCTGCTGTTCATTGAGTCAGATCCAGGGGTTATTGGACCAAGCCATGTGCCATAAGCAGGGGTCATTTCGTAGAAAAAGAGCTAGGGGGACTCATTAGCATAACTCATTAGCATATGCTACACCCCCTGACATCACCGGAAGTGTGTCCTCCCCACAGCC